AATGAACTGGTAGCTATGACGGTCGGTAATTGAGTAGACTAAGAGAAAACCATCTGCCCACTTGAGGCACCCAGAAAGCGAATCCAGCATCTGTGGTAAGTCTTCTTGGATCTGAAAAAAAGGAATGGTTGTTTACATACATTTATAAAGAACAGAAAAGGTTTCCGTTGCAGACATAGTTTCAATATAGAAGCTCATCTCGCAATTGAACTATTCAGTGTTCAACCTTGATCACCATAATACAATGCAGTTGGATGCCTGGATGACACAGCCCTGAAGCATTAAAAGAAATAATGCTTTTGGGAGTGATCACACTTAATCCCAAATGGATCATTAAAAGGTCAGATGCATTTCTTTCAGCATTACACAGAACAACACATAACTATAACTCCTATTAATGCTGTAATGAAATGCAAGTATTTTTTTGTATTGAGCCCAGGAACTTTGTACCTATTAAGCCACACATTTTAAATAACCCAAGAAATGGTAAGATATTCCAGGGATTGCAGTCCTAGAAAAATTGATCTGGGGCACTTTGATATATGTGAGATTTCTTTCTAATATATCTAAAATAGGGTTGTCAAACTCACAGCCCGCAGGCTGGATGTGTCACGGGCTGGCCACACCCATGCCCAGTTTAGCGAATGGGAAAGTCCCAATATGTCACATGATGCCCCCGTGACACCGCGAGTTTGACACCCTTGATGTAGAATGTGTGTCTGCAAATAACATCCTAATTTGATTGGAAATCCCAATTATTATGGGATACTTCAGATTGAAAGTTCTGAGAAGTGGTAAAAAACTGTTGGCAGTGACAACAATATTTGACTTCCTGGTTGTTTGTTAAAGCAGTAAGAATTATAACTTTACAGGTAATCTTTATTTACAACTAGTCACTTAGCAACCAGTCAAAGTTACAACAGTCTCCCCCATCCCAGTTCTAAAGTTACAATGTCTGGTGTGCCCTGCCCCCAGTGGTCACATAACAGAATTTTGGGTACCTGGCAACCAGCCCACATTTGCTCCATGGTCATCTGACCACAATTAACAAGTTTTTTTCTGGAAACTGGTATTTATTTTTTGTTTCCATAAGAAAACACCCATAGCAAATATGGGTTTGCTTCATGAAGACAGCATTCATTTAACAACCAATGTGTTCACATAATAACTACTGCAAAAAAGGTCATGAAATCAGGTCTGGTCACATGATGACCAGCTTTATTAGTGTCAGAACTTATGACTGTAATTGCCAGTTATGATCATAAGTTGGAGACTTTTTAGCAATGGTATACTGCTTTAAGTAGCAAGAAATATTGAATAAATGAGGCAGGATAAGCAAATAAGAATAAAGTGAACAAATATGCAACTACTGTGTTATAAAGAGCCCGTTGCATTTCTGCAACATAGAGAAGCAAATGCCATTTGGAGTCCAGAACCAACATATTTTAAAATTATTTTGTACCTCCGGGCATCCTGGTGTGTCTTGGATCTGCAGAAACATTTGATCACCTTCTATATGAACAAGTCTTGAATATAGATTTCCTGGAAAAATGAACATGAAAGTGAATATTGGTGGCAAGAAATAACCTAGAGAAATAGGACAGCTACTCATCTCCTTTAGGTTGGCCCACAACACCCCAGAAGTGGGAAGCCCAGAAACCCAATAGTGCAGGAATCTTCAAACTTGACAGCTTTAAGACTTGTGGACTTCAACTGATTCCTCCTCCTCTCATATTAGCTCAGGATTTCTGGGAGTTGAAGTCCATGAATCTTAAACTTTCCAAGTTTGAAGACCCTTGCAATAGTGATTGGGGTCCTTAAACCTACCTAAGAATATGACTGCCAACAATTGTACTGGCTTAATTACTCCCCATTTTGAGTTGTGGAACACCTGAAAACTGGTGTAAACCTTACACATGAAACATGTGACCAAGATTTCCTAAATTCCATCCAAGTCTTGGGGAAAGGGAAGGAAAGTCCTACCCTAGCTTACTTCAGACCACTGTCCTACCGCTGCAGCTCTTGTTCAACCCTCAAACCATTAAGTGCAGCCCCCAGCCCCCATAAACCTGCTTTCCAATTTATGCAGAAAAACCAATGTGGTGTAATGGAGGACTAAGCTTCAGAAGGGGATTATGGGGCTTTAGTAAGTAGTTTTCAGAGCCTTGTTTCTTCTGTCTGCTCTTTTCTAGATAGGAAAACATCTCCACTCCTAAGCTATCTAGAAGTCCCTAAAGGAAGGGGGCCAAAGCAGATTCCTTATGGCAGAAGTCTCCAAACTTGGCAGCTTTAAGACTTGTGGACTTCAACTTCTGGGAGTTGAAGTTCACAAGTCTTAAAGTTGCCAAGTTTGGGGACCCCTGCCTTATGGCATAGAATAGGCGATCTCCTTACTCAGACCTCACAGCTGGCTTGTGGGAAGGGAAAATTCTTAAGAATAAAACTCACCAGTATTGGGTTCATAGTCGCCAATAAACCTTTTGGTGAGGAACCGGACAATCATGGCTGGGGAGGAAAAAAAGAGAGAATATTTTGTTTGTTAATTGAAAACAGCTGGGGAAAAGGCTAATCAAGCCACCATTTTTAGCAAGCAGCATGGCTTCCCAAGTGGTGACTTGAGCTATGATGGCATCTGGATTAGGAAAACAAACAAAGATGCCTATGGAAGTGTGGAAGAATTTTCTGCTTTAACCCAAGAGTAAATGATGTTCTGCTTGAAAAGGAAGTCTTTAACCCACCCAACCAGCTCATAGCTCCTGTTCTCCCATCCCCAAAGTTCTTCCATAGAGTGTGGTGGCCTAGAGGTGGAGCCTCCTCACAATCAGGAGGCTATGAGTTTGACCCTAAGTAGAGGCTAGTATTTGAAATAGATTCTCCTGCTCGAGCAGGGGGTTGGACTAGATGACCTCCAAGGTCCCTTCCAACACTTGTTCTGTATGTTTTCTTTTTTCTTAAATTTTTATTAAACATAACAGTTAAAAACATTAATGTGGTAAAGTCGTTTTGACATAACTTTTGGTCAGTATAATATAAGTATATACATTCCTATATACATTTGTTCCTATATATATTTGTTTTCTTAAGTTTTCGCGGGTACTTACAT